TGAAAAAGTAAGCAGGTGTTTGGAGGCCGAGGGATGGGATAGGAAATAATACAGACAGTATTGTCGTGTCATTTTACACATCAATGGAATGTCCTCATCTGGGACTACTGTTCTGAACACCCTATGAGAGGCTTTAGAAATAGCTGACAAAAATGTGGAAATGTGGGAAGACTTGCATATGAAGAAAGATTGAACCAACTGGGACTCTTTAAAAATGAGACAAACAAGAGATATGATAAAGTTGCATCACAAAAACGATACATCAAACAATTCTAAGTAAAACACAAAACAGATAAAACATAAAAACAAAGGACATTCAATTAAAATGGAAGGCAAGAGATTTTAAAATAACACAAGTATGCAACATTTTAAGTATCATGTCTAAGTTATTTACTGAAAACAGGAAGCTATTCAACTCAGTTGATTTGACTGAATGTGCTAATTACATTTAGCAATCAACACATGTGAGAGAGAAAATTTGAGATGATAAAGACACTTCAGACCCGTGCCCCAAGTCAGCATACATTTGCGTGGGTTTGTTGAGTTGAATGGAGCCATATGAATATACACAAGCTAAAGTCTAGCTCAAAGTCCATTACAAGATATATTCTGAAAGAGGTAACTTAGCTTTGCTTAAAGAAAGGTTGTTACATGCTTTGCACACATACAGATGGTGATGCATTTCATACCACCCACAGCACAGATGGACTGTCAGCCATTACATTGAAAGTGATTCCAAAAGCGTTAACCCAAATCCACCAGGGAAAAATGGAGCATTTCTTTTTCTGTTAAAACTTTACTCTCTTAAAATGCAGGGACATCTTAGAAACAAAAATATTTGAGAAACAGGTATGCTATTTATATAGCTCAGCAGCTGTGGTTTAACATAAAATGTAAATAAATCCCAAGTCATCGTGTTGATAAATGAAATAATAACAGTGGGCTTGTAGGATCTCTTTCATCTACAGGTTTTGAAAAGCTCAAAGGTTGGGAAAGCATTCATCTCTCTCTTTCAGAGGTGGGACAAATTCAGAGTATTTCTATGCAGAGCAAGGCAGCATCAGGCAGGCACCTGAGCTAGGTCTGTACACATTACCAGAGGAGCACCTGAATTAGAAGCAGTATAGCCATACGTTTGCCATTGCAAGAAGCGAAATTATTTATCTGAGTACAGTGTGACACTAACCTGAGGTCTTGCTTTCATTTTAGAAACTAGCACATAAAGACAATAGCTTGGGATTTCTGCACAGTATTGTCTCAGTCTTGAAAAGCTTAAGGTCTAAAGCACTAACTCACCCCCCCAAGGAAACTCCATTTGAAACAAGCAGGTAAAGGATCTATTTATACAAAGCAGCTTGCAGGTCTGAGGCCAATTATTTTAAAGTTTCTACCTGGAGTCCCCAAAGCCTGATCTTCAAGGGTGCTAAAGTACTTTTCTTGCCTTGAAGAGTGGGTGTTCAGAACTGCTGAAAAATCAGGTTCAGTGTGTCTGATACTGGGCACCCAAAATCAGTGGGAAGAGCTGAAAATGTATGTCACAGCAATTTGCTGAAAACTACAAGTTAATGGGCACATATGCCAAGGACAAGATCTACAGTTCCCAACTCCATTCACCCAGGTCAAACAGACACTCTGCCTGCCTCAAGAGGAACACAGGCTAGATTCTCCAGTCCACTCTGTCCATTTTGCAACAATTTCCCTGTAGAAGTGAATTCCCTGCTTGCATAAACCTGTCAAAGGTGGTGATGGACCCACCTTCTATACCTACTCATTTTATCCCCACACAAACATGAGTGTTAGCCAGAGAATGGAGCAGAGCAAGCTGATAAGAGGGTGGAGTAGACCTCAGTTATGGGTGGTCCCTTTCAATCCCAGACATAATTCAATTACCAGCTTGCAAATCTTAAAACAGTTCTTGTCATTTGTTTTTGCAGAATCTGTGCAGCTCTGATTTGAAGTTCATCATTTTTCTGTTAACACTGAAAGGCATTTTAGATTTTACATAAAGGGCATTTTAGATTTTCAGGCTATGTCAATGGAAATATTGAATACAATAAGTTTGATCTTGATCCTTTCCTTCAGAAGATGTGAGATGTTATGGAAGGTCAGTTCACTAAAGTCCCAGGTGCTTGCACCCAGTAATTACTATTCAGCGATTCACATGTTGTACCAAAAAAGTTACATTTTAACATCTAGATTTTTAAAAAGTTTTTCTTCTACATTAACTTCATGTCCAGTAGATGTTCTCAAGTCCATAGAAGTGTCGACTTTTTCAACAACTAGGTGCTATGACAATGGATCTTAATTACTAATACAAACTAGTTGCCACAGTAACTCACATCCCAGTGTGCACAAACTCCCCACACTGCACAACCATAGACCCCCATTTTGTAATAGCTGAAAACTGACTGCATGGCATTTTTGGATGAGAGCTCCTAGTTCTGGATTTCTTTTCCCTTTTGGTCCATCAACTAGAGTTAGTCAAAGTTTTTACAGGAAAACCAATAGGTTAAAAAAGCCATATTTTCTGTGCTTGTTTTTCAAACAGCTCTATGTTTCTAGCTTTGGTTTAAGCTTTGGAAAGACTCCTTAGCTTACTCATTCTTTTGCTCAAACTTACTGGTGAGGAAAGGCACCTTTACAGACGGCCATGACTGTCAGCTGGGGAAGTTGCTTCTGAGCTTATACTTCTGGTCTTAGCTGGGTTCAAAGTCTGGAACCCTTAAAAGCACTTACATTCACTAGTGCCAGCACCGTGTAGCTCTCATTACCAAATGGTTCTCATTACTGTCTTCACGCAGGCGAAAAGCAGACCTGAAAATCTGATCAATGGATCTGTTTATGGGTGAATGTAGTATTGGGTCAGGACAAAAGGTTAGCAAAAACCAAAACACCGTAACACACATTTTAGAGGGCACATAAACATAGTTCTAGTCTCATGTAACCTACTGAATTTTGAGGAGATGAACAAATGCTCATTTTCAGAACTAGTCAAAAGTTTGATCATTTATGTTTTCATGGAAAAAAATTCTCTTTTCCTAATGTTTCACAAAAAAACTTGAAATTTCCACTTTCAGCATTTGCTGTGGAATCTTTTTATTCTGATTTATAAAATGTAGCTTTCATTATTAAATTTTTCCCCCTCTTTTCCTTTCCTGTCTTCCCCAAGTCATTTTCAAAACAAACATCGTTTTAAAAAAGTATTGGGGAAAAAAGGAAAAACCTTGGAAAACTATAAGCAATATATATATAAAATAAACAAATCCATTTTGAATCCCAGAAAATGAAAACCTGGATTTTTTTACTAGCTCTAATGATTTTTGAAACACAACTTTTGCTAGGGATTGTTATTTCACGGTTCAAGATAAAAGGCAACATTTTCCCACATTATCTTTCTGCTAAATGCTTAAATCAGAATAGATGACTCAAAAGAATTAGCAGATTCACAGGGCCCACTAAAAGAGTGCAATAAATTTGTTTAAAATAAACAAATATAGCAAGCAATATTCTGTGGTAGCAGTGGGTCCTTTCAGATTAGGTTTACATTTCTAAATGGGGGTCATCAGCTAGTAGTACTATGTAAGCTATGCTAGACCTTTATTGGCAGCACAATACAGCTAGCTGCTTGTACAAACGAATACCACCAGCTGGCCAGTCACCAATTCCATCCTCAACACGGCATCTTTCCAAAATGTTCAGCGGGCTTGCAGTCAGCACAGAATGTGAATTTTGGCATCCCAGTAGGATCTGAATTTCATCAATATAAAAGCATCATTTACGCAAGACCAACATCACAGGTGCCCCTCACTTGATTAACAACCTGGCAATCTGTCTTCTTGCTGTATGCAGCTAAGGGAGCAATCTAAGTCATGTAACTCTAAATCACTCTCCATTATGTAGGGGACAATTTTATGCCAGCAACCTACCCATCTTTTACACAGAACAAGGATTTCAAAAGCCATTCAGTGAACACTGCTAACCACTTCATAGAGCTGAGAATTGCTGAAGCAATTTAATTCAATAAATACTATTAAAGAAACTCTATTAGGCTTTAAATGTTAATACTTCCCTAGTTTTCTAAGCCTGGGGAAGTTGTTATATGAGTCGCTATCACACACTATCACACTAATATAAAGAGTTCTAGTAATTTTCAAGAGACAGGTTCTGGCTGGTAGCTGTCCCTAAAACATTTAGGCAACCTGCCCTGGAGGTGATCCCTAGATTGGCAAACAACCAGTCCCAGGAAACATACCCCAGATCAAAGTGAGATATTTATAAGTATTTTCATTATGGGGTGGAATTTCTAAGAGTTGTGGCTTAGGATCACAAGTTTCATTAAATGGATTCATGTCTTGCCACTTACATGCTTGTGAAAAATCCCACCCAAACACAACACTGTTACCACTTCAGGGCCCTGGGCAATGGGCATGTCAACTGGTGAACGTTCCATTCAGTTCTTTCTCCTCTGATATGGTATCTATCATTCCTTCCTTGGAGGCTGCAAGGTAAGGGGCTACACAGTGATTTTATAGCTCATGCAACTAGGCATTGCAAATGATGTGAAGCTTAAAAAATGTTGCTGATCTGGTTCCACACATTTCTCACGTCTTAGGACAGCACTGGTTGTGAGGACCATGGCAGCTATATAATGCACTTACTTGGCATGTAGACTTATTGATGTATTTTTGTGGTGGCCCACTACGGATCTACCACTGTTGCTTCAACAGCTTGTTAGAAAAAACTTAAGAGGTAGAAGACAAAGTTTAGGAATTAGAGTGGCCAGAGTGTGAACCCCCACGTTCCCATGTAAGTTAGATGGTAAAAGTGTCCAGGGCACTTAAATAAATTACAAGGCATAGCTAATAACCCCCACCAGGCAATCAGTGCTTAATTAAGAAGCAGAATCAAGTCCCAGTGAGTTCTCTTAAACCTCATGGGACAGAGGCTCTATCATAAAGTATCAAAGATGGAGGTGTGAAGCAAAGAGAACAGATGGGTTGTGGTGAATGGAGAAGAAATGGAGTGGAACCACAGTGCTTTGGTGGAGAAGCAAAATAAAAAAAAAGGTCTAGGCTAAGACAACAGTATAAATCTTAAGCTGGTTTAATTTAGAATAGCATCTCTGCAGTCCATGGAGTTCTGCCAATTGACAACAGCTGTGGAACAGGCCCTTAGCCTTTAAATGTAATGTATTTACTGCAACCTGTTGGAGGTAAAGTAAGCTCACGGTAGGGTAATAAGGCCTTGGTCCAGATGTTCCTGTATGGTGTGTGGGTTTTAATACAATCCCTATATTGCAAGCAAGATTTCTTTTTACACTGCAGTACCTAGAAGAGAAAAACAGTAATGAAATAATGGGTAAATATCTTCCATACTTGTGCACACAACTGGTGGAGGAAGCATTACCTGAATAAACATATTTTTTCCAGCGCATCTGATCTCCTGGAAAAAGGTGCCTTGTGAATGAAAGACAATACATTCTATTAAATGTAAGGTCAATTGAATGCAACTCCATATCTATGGTAAGCATTTTTATTTTTTTAAAGCCAATTATGTTGATTAGAGGTATTAGGATGCCACTATGGATGTGTGAAGAAAATAAGTTAATGTGCTGTAACCAATTTGCAAACATTAGGAAATTAGCTGCAACACAAAGCTAATTAAATAAGAAAGGCCAATGCACATTAGGGGAGCAGGTTAGCAAAATGACATTTTAAAAATGAAGTCAATACAAAAAGGACAAGTGAGCAACCCCCTCCATAGATGGTTACCAGAATTCCTGGAGCTTAGTACATACCCAAAGAGATTCCGTTGACTGCTTGAGAAATAAAGTTCTCCAAATTTCAGCCCACTGAAGGCCCCTTTCAGAAGCTTGCCTTGTAATTCGGTGCCAACGACTACCACCCTTCTGCTCAGTAAATCCCTATTCACAGAGTAGTTCCTCTGCCCCTACAGAAGCTGATAGCAGAAATGTTAGCAGTCCCCTTTAAATTCTGAAGGCATTCGTCAGTGATGCTACAACACTGAAGAAATCCAACTTCTTTATCATAAACATTTTGCTTGAAAACAAAACCAGATTTAATGAAAATGCATTCACAGAGCAAGTGGCAGCCTCAAGGCCTGATTTTGTACACGCTTGTTTTATTTATTTTCCAGCCCTGCTATTTTTCATAAAGACAGACTTTTTTCCTTCTAAATCCTATTTCATAATCCTGCCCTGAGCATCTCATCTCTCAAGATGCAGTCCCTAAAATGAATCTCAGTTCATTGCACTACACGACCCTGAGTGCAGACCTTGGACAGCAGCACTTCCCCGTTTGTTTAACCTCAGTTATAATTAAATTATTCAAGTGCCATACACAATAGGACACAAAAAACAGCATGAGCCACATCCCCAGAAGACAAACTGTGACAGCCTGACTGATTTATGCGGAACATGCTAAATGACACCAACTGAAGATCTGGACCTAAACAGCTTCCTTTTGTAAATACACATTAGATAGACATGTCCTGCAAAAGTGCTCATAGGGAGAACTGGGCCTTAGGTAGGACAGAATATTTCCAGAACTCCAGGAACCCAGCAAATTAAAAGGATAAAGCCACTGGGTCAGATTCTGATATCAATGACGGCTAATTCAAGTCTAAAATAGCTCCGCTGACTGGAGTTTGTCTAGATTTACAATGGCATAATAGAGATCACAATCTGGCCCATAGCATATAATTATCTCTTCCATTCAACACAGTGAAACCTGTGCTAGTAGTCACTGCTAACTAGAGTCTTTTCTCCTAACAGCCAGTAAAGCCTCTATTCCCATGAGAGATCTCCCCTATTAATCACAAAAAGTTATATGACCACCTGTTATAATGGCCAGAGAAACATTAATTCCTTTAGTGGCTTTTATGAACAGGCTACATACACTGCATTACACAATTTTTTATATGCGTAAACCGTGTTCTCCCACTGCTTCTGTTTTCCTTCTCTCCTCAGAATTTGATCAAGAATTCTATACGAGCATGCAACTTAAAAAATGTAACAGATCTTAAAAATGCAGTAATTATTGCTTATGCTACCCACCTCCACTCAGCAGTTGTACCCATCACATCCCTTTTCATGTTCCATCCATTACTCCAGCTTTTCATGTGGTTACTCAGGTACAGTAAAACTTGATTTTAAATAGCACTGGTGCCATTGTCTTCCTCTTCTCAGCCAAAATATGAAAAAAGAGCTACCCACACATGCACTTCAAGAGCATGGATAATTCTTCTGTAAGAACTATCATTCTGACAGACATTAAAAGGAAAGGCGTCTTGAAGAAGTTTACAACAATTTAAGGAATTTTCTTGTACCAATTTTTTTACTCAGTGGTACAGATACAGCTTGTCTTTTTTAAAAAATAAGTTACAACGGAGAAACTGATGAAAATTGTCCATCTAACCATGTAATTAATTGCAGTTAAATGCTGTGCTTAAATACTCACTACACAATAGAAAGAGATTCAAATCACTACCAAGGTACACACAATTTACTTTCATTATGCTTTTCAATTACAGGTGTTCAGTTTGTAATTTCAGTTTTGGAAGTTCTTTTCAAGAACAGAGCAGTTTGTTTTTTTTACACTAAATGGAAATAAATACCACCTTTAAAACACACAGGAAATGCAATAAAATGGCCACTTAGGCACTGACATAGTCTAGTCCTTTGAAGCCCTCTAAAAACTACAGGACAATAGGTTTTTAAGCCACTAATGGGTTGGTGCACAGGACAGAATGCTGCCGATTTGACAGTGGATTATGTACTACACAAAAGCACATCTGCAAAAGGTCCAAGGAGATTTTTGTTAAAGATGCATCGTATCCATACCAGATATATTGTGAATGGCTTAATGTTTTCTGAAAAGGTGTGATTCTGATGGGACAAAATATAAGGCATGTAAGTGTTTTCACCTTGCTCCTGTATCCATACTTCATATTTTACCTCCCTGACCTTCAGGTACTTAAGGTTCCAAGGAATCTGCCAAGACACGGCAAGTTTAGCTTCACTAGTGCCCTGGACAGAGGCTTGACATTTGGCATCCCTCACCTTGCCAGGGTACAGACCACTAGTCCACTTCTGCTTCTTGGGTCCAGGCTTAGACTTCACAGTCTGCCTGATCACTTGGATAAGGGAGGGGATATCTACTTTTGTGTCCTGGTAGGCACGGAAAAGCCACTCAGGGTTCCGACAGCAGAGGTGCCGTGGGACCTCTTTGCTCTTTATGATGCGCTCCTGCTCCACCTTGTCTAAGTGAGCAATTCCTCCCTGATCCCAAGGCCTGTCAGGGTAGGTAACAGTGTTTTCCCTATCAGTGTTCTGCCAAGCAATATACTGGAGATCCATGCCAGGGAGTGTTGCCAGTGTTTTGTATGGGGTGTAGTGTTCAGGGTTGATAGCATAAGGAAACAGCTCCACCACAGTAGCCCCTCTTGGCAGGAAGAGAGACATCATTAATTGGGCACCATGCATGCTGACCAGCATGGATGCATTGCTGATCAGACGTACAATATCAGAAAATGAATGATCCTCTAAAGAGACTGTAATGGTTTTCATCTGAAACTCTTGGGCAAGTGCCAAAATTAGTTCTGCCTCATTTAGGATTAGTCTGTTGATTGTTCGACTGAATACAATAATATACTCCTCACTGGAGCTTTCTTCCAAGCTGACATTCAGCTTCTCCATCATGAACTTGGTGAACTGCCTGATCTCATTGCCAGAAACTAAGATGTTTGCCTTTGGGCCTTGGGGCTGCACAAACCCATACTGGTACCACGTGGTGATTTTGGACAGTCCCACGTAGGATTTCGTAAAGCAAAGGAGCCGGCCCAGAGTTTTAAGCTGTTCTTTCAGGAGTGGCTGCTTGTTACTCAGCAACTTGTACAGATCGAAGTGCTGGCCTTCACTCCCCCCCTCCATGAAGAACAGCCGTGACTCCTGGTCCAAGTCTGGAAATTGCTGCATGGTGTAGTAGATTGGGAGAAGATCATCGTGAAAGACGTGCATCAAGTTGTCTGGGTTGAATCTGTTGGTGATCAGTGCCACATCAGGCACAAAGACTGGCTTTGGCATAAATTTCAGTGCAGCGGCTGGCAGAGGCCTTCACTCCACCCCTCCATGAAGAACAGCCGTGACTCCTGGTCCAAGTCTGGAAATTGCTGCATGGTGTAGTAGATTGGGAGAAGATCATCGTGAAAGACGTGCATCAAGTTGTCTGGGTTGAATCTGTTGGTGATCAGTGCCACATCAGGCACAAAGACTGGCTTTGGCATAAATTTCAGTGCAGCGGCTGGCAGCTCCACAAAGTTAAAATACTGGGTATTATGGTCCTCCACTGAGGAGAGATCAAGCAAGGCTGGCTGGAATCGTCTAGATCCCAGGTTGGGCAACATGACTGAAGAGTTGCTGTGAAAGAAGACAAACTCCTCTGCCTCCGTGGAATAACAGAGGGACTCGAAGCGGCAGATGCGGTCAGTGTGCATCCTGCCCGTGCACACCATCCTGGTTCCATCCTCCACCAGTGCTTGAAGAGCTGCATGGTAATCAATCTGGACCTGAGAGAGCTCCTGAGACTGGCGTGTAAGGATCAGCTCCTCTTCCACCACAAAGAGGTGCTCTCGCAGCCTGATGTATTTCCACAGCACAGCTGCAAGGACAGACACTAGCAGAGCATTAAACACTGCTGCTATGTTCATTCTGTAGCTAGATCCTAGCAAGATGACAGGTGGGGAACACAGTGGAAAGGGAAGGCATCATTAATCCTCTTTGACATGGTGAAAGCAAAGACCTGGGGAAAACAAAACAGGAAAGAAACCATCTGAATATAATTTTTATAGCCGTACTGTAAATCATGTTTTATGAAGTATTCAAAGAAGTTTTGCTTTTTCAGCATTTTTCTGAGAAATGGCAGAGGCGCAAGCAAGATACTATCCAGAACTAAACTTGAGAGTAGTGATAATAAAAAAGGGACTGGCTACAAGGAGCAGCTCCCTCTCTAATTTTGATTTCCACCTGTTGAATAAATGTCAAGAGCAGCTTAGTGCAATTTCATTAAAGAACCTGATCAGTTATTCCCATTCAGAATGCATCTCCAGTCTAACCTTCTCATGACACATTCTGTAAGGTAGTCAAGAGGAAGGATGGTCCAATGGTCAGGGCTTGGGAGACCAGGACGCCATACCTTCTTCTGCCATAGACTTCACGTATGACTTTGTACAAATTATTTTTCTCACTGTACCTCAGCTCTTCATCTGTACTATGCAGATAGTAGCACTTCCCTATATCTCAGGGGTACTGTGAAGATAAATGAAGTCACAACTGTGAATCTTGCAGGGAGCATGGTAGCGGAAGATAAATAAGTACGACAGAGAGTTTTTAGTTCTAGCCATTTTTGTGGTTTATAGGCTTGTCTAGATCCCTTGTTCTCCACAAAAAATACACTGACCCTCTTCTTTTCAGCTACCTCTTTTCAAGATTTCATGGTGTAGTAGGAAAGCCTTGAAATAAAAAAAAAAAATCAAAGTCTCAAAAAAATAAAGATCCCACGATGCTGACACAGGAGTAGAAAGTCTGTGATCCTGGGCCATGCTCTTGTGATTGGACATTTATTTATTAGATATACATGTCACTTGTGTCCTCCCCTATTCCTCCTTCCCCACCCCCAACTCCATCCAACAAACAGTTTAGAGTAGCTTACACTACAAGACCAAGTAATTTATACCCCCAAATTGAAAAATAATCCATGCTTGCTCCACTACCTTGCAAGACAAATTTTACAGTTCCAATAAAAAAGTCCAGCTATACACGTTACACAAAAAACATGCCTAAATATGGTTGGTCACAGCCATAGTACACAAATTATATACGCAACTTTTCTTCCTACACGAACAAAAGCAAATATACAATTGTTAGTATAGGAACTTTTAAACCTCTGTTTCAAGGGTTCCTTGTGTGCCTTACAACTCTCTAAAATAGTCATTACATGTTTATTCTTGTCTGCATTGGCAAGACTAAGTCACACTACACTATAGCAAGGTTTGACAGCAATCAAGTTTAAACACTACTATTGTGGTAGTGTGGAATGCACCAAGGAGTACAAGTTACTGGTTTCAGCACTAACCAGCCTAGATCTCGGAGACTAATTTACACCTACATCCTTTTACACTCTCACAGTGTTAAAAGGGTGCATGTATAAAGTGGGAAACATGCCCCAGACATGGAAATGGACAAGTTACATCACCACACCGATATTGCTCATATTATGGGCTCCACAGGTGAGCAGAGGTAGGGCCAGATGTTGAAACTGGCTTCTCTCTACAACATGGTCACATCAGGCTTTTTGGGCAAATGTGACCATTTCCTCAAACAGCATCAGAATCCATACCCCACTCCATGATTGCTGATGTAGAGCCATGAATGGGGATGGATGGATAAAGGTATGAGAATGACAGCTGACTCAATCCTGGTGCTGACTGTAGAGAAGAGGGGCTAGCAGGGTGGCTGTACAACTCCTCAGTTGCACATTGCTGTGGGCTGGTGGTTATTCCATGAGCAGGCAAACTGTATGCAGACCAATCTATCAGCA